AACAAAATGGACTCCCATCTGGAGGATGCCTGTACTGTTTATGTATGTATGATACATGATGCTCACATCCTCAAGCATTCAAATGCTAATAAACTTAATTGGACAATATTGAGCACTTATAATACCAAGTTTGTGGTTTGAAATCCAACAAGATAGATCTGCACATGACAAGTTTTTGCTCTTTGCTAACATTTGCTAGCTTCCAAGAAATTTTTCGAATATGTATTCTTAGGATAAAGGAGTGTGGAACATTCATTCTGTTAGTTATCCCGACATCAAAAGTAGGAGTAGCAATAATGAAATAATTGAATGTAGGCAGCACCCAATAATTAAAGAAATGATAATTAAAGCCTGCATGACTTCAATTATTGCAATGATCCCTAAAGCATGACACGGCTGACCTGCTCTCGTCCTCTACTTGTGTTTCTCTTAATTACCCCCTTTCTTCATAACCCACCTCACGCGCGTGGGACCTCTCCTCTTTCCTTTTTTAATTAGGATAATATTTAAAATAATTCATATGCTATTTTATTTAGTTTTAAATTTACTCTTATAAAATAAAAATTTATAACTTAATCTAAAATTTTAAAAATACTATATGAGTAATATATTTAATAATTCTAAAAATAGTTAACAAATCAATCCATAATTATCTTTAGATTTTTTTTGGCATTCATTGGACACCCGATTTGTGGATTTATTTTATTTTCTCTTAAAAGACACAAAAGAAAAGAACATTATTATTATTATTGGTATGCAAATATAATAAGTACTGCTTTCTTTGGAATAGTGAAGACGGTCTCTCTTTGTTTGGTCGGATTGAGCGTAATATAATATATGTCGAAATCCCATGCTACTGTAACGTGACTAAGAAGTTGATTACTGTTTATCTTCATTACCCGCTGTCTTTTAAGGGTATAAATCAATTTAGTTTGAATAAGTAAAATTATATTTGTGTTTATTCGTTTATTTTTTAAGGTATTGATGTTCGTTTAAATTTTTGGTATCTTGTTCTTTTATTTATTTTTGAAAACATTCACGAACATGTTCATTTAGTAGTCTACAACCGACACTCACTTTCTATCATTTTATTTGCAAGCCAAAAAGTGGTAAGATTACACCAATAGTCCTTAAGCTCCTTAGGTTTTAAAGTTTAAATTCTAAAGTTCACTTTATATTCAGTTTAATCTCTATCTTCATCAATATTTAAAAAAATAATTGAGTAAACGAGTTTCTTCGTAAATAGAAATGAACCGATCACACATCTGTTTATTTTTATTTATTTATTAAATGAGCATACAAATTTTGTTTATACTCATTTATTTAGTTTAATAAAATAATGTTATACAGACACTTCACAAACTTTTCTTAAATACAATGTTCATTTATTGTCTTTTTAATAAATTTTTACATGATTATAATAAACTATAATTTATAATAAAATTATATATATTTATGGAAATAAATATATATTATTATCAAGTTTTTTAATGACGTAAATAAAACTAAAAACGTTTTATAATTCGATACATATGCCACGTTTTTAATTATACTGATGAAACAAAACAACTTAATTGATAAATAGACACAATAATCGATTAAATAGTATATAATTAAAAATGTTTCTCAAACACGTGAAGCTTAGGTGAAAAGCAAGGGTTGTGTGATGATTGTATTCAAACCAACAGGCCAATGGCACCTTGGATTGGGGAAATGATGTTATTATGGATGGTCAGTCATCGGTTCAAGGGTTCCGGTTCAGCCACATTTATTGGAATCACGTCATAATTGACTACTCGGAAACTGGAAATGTTTAGATTAAATTAATTGGCTATCATTTGAAAACAAACAAACAGTGCCATTCCGCTATAATTGTGTTGGCTGAACAGCGCTTCTTAATCATTATATTTCTCTCATCACCTCTATAATAATAACATATATCAGCTCCATTTTTTATTCATTTTATTAGTCAAAAGTTTCTTCTTCTTTTTTTCTTTTGTATACGTGAAATCTAAAACACAATCAATTAATATAAAATAAAAAAATTATAATTGATCATAATTGTAAAAAAAATATTAAATGTATAAAATTTTAAGGTAATATGAATAACATTTTAGGTTAAAACTCAAAATATTACGTTTTTCATAAGAAATCATTTAAATTATATAATTATTCTAGCTACAGTTTAAAAAGTTACTATCAATAAATTCATGTAGCATTGTCATTATAATATAAAATTCTCTCATTGAAAAAAACCTAGTTTTCTCTCATTGGTGTTTCGTTCATCTTTTTTTTGTTTTTGTTGATCGGAGACAACACCAACTTTAATGTTGGTTGCAACCGTCGATATTCTTTATTATCCTTTGCTTTTCTATATCTATTGAGTCAATCAAGAGGAAAAAATAGCCAAGAGGGGAGGTGAATTGGCAATTAAAAACTTTGGTGAAAACTTGAAAGAAAAATAGGAAATCGAAGAATGTTGACTTTGATTTTTGGCTCTGTGATTACTTTGGCTTTTTTTTTTATTTTGATTTCTCATCTTCACATATGGCTTGAAATTTTGTTTTTATACCTGCTCGTTCAATTCTAGTCGTTTGGGCTATTGTGAGAGTTAATAGAGCTGTTGAGATGAAGCTTCCTGCAATAAATGTTACCAATACACCTTGAGTATCGATATTCGGGCTTGGAGTATCGATACTGCATGCATTAATTACAAAAAATTTGACCTTTGGAAGATGGAAGTATCAGTACTCTAGTAAAAGTATCGATACTCTGAGAGTATCAGTACGAAAATGGTATACTGGAATCGTTTTTTGTCAAAACCACAAAGGGAGTATCGGTACTCCCATCCAGAGTATTGGTACTGCTTGAACAATATTGATATTGTTCTTGCAGTATCGGTACTGCATGGTTTAAAAAATTTTTTTGACTCGATTAAGGTTCGAAACCCTTTGTAAAATTATTTGAAAATTATTTCTAGTATATGAATTTAATTTTCAAAACGAGTAAGGAGTAAAAATTTATTTTTTGACCTTGAGAAGGATTTCAATATTCGAACGATTTAATCGAATATAAACTTAAAAATCGAATAAAAATAATCTTAATTTTTTTAAATATTCATTTTTTTGGTATATCAAAATACAAAGCATGGTTCAACAATATTGTATCTGTATTTTCTTTTATTTTTTGATTTTCAATAAGTCTGCTTGTATGAAACGTTTTCATCTACCTTTATGTCACATTTTCTTATACTTATTGGCATGTTTTTTTGGTTGTTTGGTCATTTTTTTCATTTATCTTTTTTCAAATGGTCGATTTGACATCGCCATGACTGATCAAGATGACGCTTATATGATTTCTTGTTGATCTTTCATGTTTTGAACTCTCGAATTCGATTTGGATCCCCGATTTACGTTCGTACATAGCTTTTCACTTCACTCGAGTATGATTTGTGGTTTGTTGGTGGTCTTTTAATAACTTGATTCCATTTTGTGGTTTGTTTGCTGATGTAATCAGATCTATTTGTATCTATCTTTGTTCGAGTTTCTTGGTTAGATTTTTAATCTTTCCTTGAATGATCATTATGTGATCTCAAGTTGCTAGTTTTATTTTAATGATTGTAAGAAAATTTCCTAATTATGTTCTTAATTTAAAATTGCGATTGTAAATCTTTATTGTAATTTGCATATTTCCTATTTTAAATAAAATTAGTTGCTTCTATAAAAAAAACTCATTATAATATAACATATAAACTACACATTTAGTATCTAAATTATAAGTTTTTGGTCCGTTTTATTCTCTAAACTTTCAATTTTTCAAAATCATACTTAAATTTTAGTTTTTATTTCATTTTAGTACACACGTTCAAAATTTAACGTTAAGTTTTGAAAAAAATTAAAAGTTTATGTACTAAAATGGAGCAAAACTTATAGTGATATGTACTAAATGCATTAAGTTTTTAATGATGAGTATTAAAACAAAACAAAAACCAAACATGATGTATAATTTTAAAAAAAAATTAAATTGATATTAAATTTATAATTTACCTTAATATAATATTATCGATCATAATTAAAATTATTATCAATTGTATATATATTTTTAAATAAATATGATAAGGTATGTAATAAATTATTAACAAAATCTTGCCCATGGATTAGATTAGGCATTCTTAATTGTAAAATGAAAAAGAAGCTTGTCGCTGTTGGACTTGAATTGTATCGATAAACAAAATATGGACGAAAAGCCGTGTGTTTTCTCATCAGTCTCCTGCTCCAACTTTCTTTTCATTTCTCTAAAATGGTCAAAACATTTCAAACTCGATTCGTTTTTAATACCATTAACAAAGATTTTCCTGTACTGTTTACAAAACAGGAAAATCTCTTCTCTTTCTTGTGCATATATTTATATAGATTCACGTGCGTTTGTCAACCTGGATTTGTCGGTCAGTCTCTCCCACAGTGCCAAAAGCTTAATAAAAAGGAGTGTTGTAGGGCGAGAGGAGCAAGTTTGAATAGGGTTTTCTTTTTCAGTTCATCTCTCTCTATCTTCATCAAATCAAACAAGACATTTCAAAGCCGTCTTTGAAAGTGAAAAAAGGTTAATGGAGTTAGCTTTGAGCTTGGGTGATTCTTCAAAGCCATTTCCTTTTCTAGAAAAAACCCCAAAGTTATCAACCAGCGATCTAGGGTTTTGCAAGGAAGCTAATAGAGATGGAGACGACAACAAAAGGGTTTCTTCAGATCCACCTCTTCAGCTTCATCTTCTTCCATTCTCTCCTCTTCCTCGCACGCCACCTCCTTCTCAGCTTCGTCTTCCTTGGCTCAATGATAATCGTCAGTATATTTTGTTTTTCCCATTAGTTTTTTTCAAGCTTCTTATCTTCTTTTTTAGTTCTTTCTGGGTATCGGATTCTGTTTTTTATCTTTTCCGTTATCTACTGGGAGAAAATATTAACATTGTACTGTAACTACTGCACGAAACGGGTTCACCAGAAGGACCGATAAGAGCGTTAGACGTGAACCGGTTACCGATGGTGGCGTTGGGGGATGAAGCGGAGGAAGGAGCGGCGCAGTCATCTCCGAACAGCGCGGTGTCATCCTTCCCGATGGATTTCGGGATTACTAACGGAGGCAGGAGAAACATGGAAACTGAAACCGAAAGGGGTAGCTCCAGAGCAAGCGATGACGATGAGAACGGTTCAACCCGGAAGAAACTCCGGCTCACTAAAGAACAATCGGCTTTTCTCGAGGAAAGTTTCAAAGAACACAACACCCTGAATCCCGTGAGTCAAAACAAAAAACCGAACAACTTCTTTTTATTTATTTCCCTTGTTTCAGGGTTCATGTTTTGAATATTTTGATTTATTTTTCTTTTAAAAAAACGTTGGTTCAGAAACAAAAGCTTGCTTTGGCCAAACAATTAAATCTTCGTCCTCGACAAGTGGAAGTTTGGTTTCAGAATAGAAGAGCAAGGTATACATATTAATTACTTAATTTTTTTTTATTTTAATGGTTGTTGGGTTCAATAATTGCCAAAATATGTGATTTTTTCTGGGTTATTTTATAATATTGATTTCGAATAAAATGGTACAAAAAAAAAAAACAGGACAAAATTGAAGCAGACGGAGGTAGATTGTGAGCATTTAAAGAGATGGTGCGAAACACTGACAGAAGAAAATAGAAGGTTACAAAAAGAACTGCAAGAGTTAAGAGCTTTAAAAACTTCCCAACCATTTTACATGCACGTACCTGCCACCACCCTCACTATGTGTCCGTCATGTGAGCGTGTCGCCACCAATTCCACCGCCGCCGCCGCCGTCTCTGGCAGAAATACGGATGCCAAAACTGTAGGAATCCCGTTTTCGCCACTGGGAACTCATGTGACCCAGAGCCAGTCCCAAGCCGACCAGGCTGCTTCGTGAAATCATTGGACGAGACCAGTCAAAATATGCTGTCACCTTTTTTTTTTCTTTAGCCCATTTTGTACATATTTTTGGGTTGAAGGATTTTTTTTTTTGATTTCCTTATTTGAACTTTTATTTTAATATTTGTCTATGTTCTCTTGCAGTTTTATTAGGGATAAAGATGTTTAAAGAAAACGATATTTGAGTTTATCGATAGATTTTGTTTAGAGTGGAGGGAGATATCGAAGAAATTTCGTAAGAAGAGCCGCTTGTTTGTTTGACATGGAAAAAATTAATTCTTCATACTTATTGTCTTATTGTAATGAAATCCTTCTGCGGTTTCAGATTTGTTAGTGATAATATTTTAGATCTATTTAATTGTATATTATTTTGATTAATTTAATCATTTAATTTATTATCATCATCATCTCTGTGTTTACTTTTTTGATGGATGATCTACTTCCTTTTGATTATTATTGTATTAATAAAAATAAATTATGATAATTTGAGATAGGGAGAGATTTTGTTAAAATTTGGAGTTTAGTGAGATTTGTACTTTTGACCTTTGGAAACAAAGGATATACAAATATATTCTTAAAAATAATAATTTTTTAAAAAATAAAGCCTTAAAATTTTCAAAATTCCCAAATTACTCCAAAACCCTAAATACTAAATTCCTAATTTCACCCATTATCGCCATCAAATCAATGACCATCACCCACCACTTTCATCGACAAATCCTTACCACTAATTACCCCACTCTTCTGTCGTCGAAAATCAAAGAACAATGTGCTAATCGATCGTCAAAACACTGAATATAAAATATTCTAATCGAACCATGAACGGTGCCCAATCGACAGGCGAATGGTGAATAATGTGCACGACGAGATGAGACTTTTGAGTATAGCACCAGCGTGCTATCGATAGGGATGATTGGTGAAGTTAGGGATTATGATTTAAGATTTTTATTTATTGGGGATTTTTTAGAATTTAGGGTTTTAATTGGGAATTTTGGGTTTTTAAAGAAATTTTAGAATTTTTTAAAAAAATTAATATTAGTTATGTCAATAAAATGACGTCATTTTAGACTTTTTTTAAGCATCCACGTTAGCAAAGTCACGGCACGGAGTTGCCATGTCACCGTGCCATTAAACCATTAACGATGAAGTGGTATAATTACACTTCAAAATAAATGTTACTGATGAAATTGATAAAATTAAAACATTGATGCTATAAACGAATCAACACTTAAAGGTTGGTAGTATTTGAAGTAGTTTACCCTAAAAAAAATGAGATGCCTATAGTAGACTACATTGTGTAACACCCTTAACCCGTATACGTACCAGAATACTAGTCAAAGATGTCACACAACTTATACAGACGTTTTACAATTGAAAACCATTACAAATTTGAACCTTTTAAAATTTTCCAATTTGATCATTTCTATAAATAATATTATCGCATAAATTCTTAAAATAACATTTAAATCAATATCAATTTCAGATAACTTAGTAGTTTAATGTTCCTTCCTATTATAAAGTAATCTGTCTAAAAAATGCCTAATTTAAAATCCATTTCAATAGCAGATAAAATATAATTAATAAACTATTATTAATTCATTATAATGATTTATGCACTACTATTTATACTAAGTCCATATTATTTATTATTATACAAACCGATTTAAACTATAATAATTAATTAGAAAAACCAAAACACATAATATACATGCCACTAATAAGTCAAAAGTAAACATCAGAGGATGTCCATATTGATACTGATAGTAGGTATGATTATGTTTAGGGGATCTCGTGGTACTCTTACTCTACTTGTTTATCATTTTCTTTACCAACGCATGAAAATCATCACACGCTAAGTATAACTTAGTGAAATATTATAAACAAATCGATGTGAGATAAAATATAAAAATAACAATAATTCCAAATAATATAATTTATTCAAATAAACATTTGAATTTCAAAACCGACTTAAATAAGCCATTTTCCACATCAGTAAACCTGTAAAATCAATATCTTATGATTTTATGAAATCATGACAACCAATGTCAACTAACAATAATCAATAAAAAATAATTTTCATTCAATCACATATTCAGTACATTCATATTTCAAATCCATAGCCCAATGTAATCTAAGAGAATGTAAAGTACATGAGTCGCTCGAATGTGTGCAATATGCACTCGTAAGGGCCCATATATCAATAACAATAATCTGCACTCGAAAGTGCCCATATCAATCGCACCATAAGTGCCATACTTGAAGTACATAAATGTACTATATCAATAACACTAAACAGTGATCACTTTACCTCATGACATGTCAATTGTATATACGACTCTCCATTCAACATACAATGGGCTTTACGATAAAAATCATAACACTAGTATATCCAATCAATGTCATATCCAAATATTATTTATCAAAAATCAGTATATTGGGCAATTTATACCCTAAAATAATTCATAAAACATTTCAGTAAACATTATGGAAATATTCCATAATTTGATTAAACTATTCTTTAAAAATCATAAGCAAGTCGTCCTCAATCAGTATACTTAAATAAATAAAATGCACTTACCTTATTTGTCTGTAACCCCTAAACCCGACTTAAAAAAATTTAAGAATAACATAGAGAATCATGTTGAAACTTACCCCTCACGAAAACATAATTATTATAAGTTCAAAATAATATATAATAAAGTGAAATTTCTCAAGTTCAATAATTATTTAAAATAAAATATATGAAGAAAAATTCAATATAAATACTAGTTATTACAAATCATGCAAAAACCTGTTTGAAATATTGTAATGCCTAATGTCCCAAAATTTACAAATAAAATAATCCCAAAAAATTAAATAAATAACAATTTCGAATAAAAGATCCGAGTAAAAATCTCACACTATAAATAATAAAAAGTTGAATGCGTACTAAACATCCAAGTATCAATTCACCTAATCTTGAATATCTGAAAATAAAGACTAAAGGGTGTAAATTATTAAGCTTAGTGTGTCTCTAAAGTGTAATTAAACACAAGTCACAATACAATCCAAAACAAATAGTAATAATCATATTTCGAATCAATCAACGATAATCAAATATTTAAATGTATGCAACTGCTTATGCACCCACCCGTACTCCAAACACTCCATCAGTGAGTGAATCCCATAGAACCACTCAAACTACAATCACTACATATTCGAGAGTGGGGTTCGCCACAAAGGCAGAAGTTACGGAATCCGAAAGTGACATTCACCCCGTGGAGTGAATGCACTTAACTTCCCCTATCAAAATTCGTCCCATTATAACATACAAATGGCACACATATTTGTTATCCGATCCGATCCGAATAACACATACTTAAATATCATATATCCAAATTATGACCTAATCCGAATGTAATAATTACATAAACAAATAATCTAAGTTCGATACATAACATATATCACATATCATACTTTTCTAAATTTCAACTGATACATCAAAATCACATAACCATTATGCTCGAAATCAACTTTCAATAAACATGCTACCCGAAATATAATTAATTCAATATTACTGCAAAATAATCGTGCTTTCACTCAGACAACTAAACAATTATCACAGACAAAATTTAGCACCGGATAGAGACAAAAATAGCTAATGATTGTAGCACCTATCAAGATCAACACGAGCAGTGGTTCGACCCAAATCATTTCCTACCAAATAATTTAAAATTACTAAATTATTCTAAAATTAACGATAAAAATAAACGTGCTAAACTTCATAAATCTACGCTCACAGTCACCACGAGCAACCCGAGTCGGTTCGAGGTTCGTGGGTAACGACGAGGAGGCGGTAACTCGATTCCCGGTTCGATTCCACCTGCAACATTTTCGACGCTCGAATCAAATCTTAATCAAGAAATTTTCAGATACGAAATAGATTATTAACGTCGACTTCAAATAAATTTTGACTCGATCAGAAAATCGATAGCGGTTCGATTCAAATATAACGGGCTATCAGTAACTAAAACAGAACTGTCGACTACAAGGGTGCACTGGCAGTAGTTCCTAGAGGACCAGTGAACTCACGGTCAGACCAGTCGTGACCTCTAACGGCCAGCAACGGCCACCATTCGACAATGGGTATCGAAACAAAACAGAACCGAAAAGGGGGTTCCACGGCCGAATAGCGGTGTTCAACTGCAACTCGGGTCACCTGGGTCTTCTCCGAAGAGAACCCAACCCCTTGGTGGCCACGTAAGGACAGAACACGGCGACAGCGGACGATTTCCCCGAGTCGAACACACGGGTTTCGCAACCCAACGTCGCTCAAAAACGACGGGAACGATCGGGGTTCGACGGGAGACACTCGGTCGTTGGTCGGCGACCGTACCTTATCTATCGGACGGCGAGAACGGCGACAGTGCAAAGAGGGCACGAGGTTGCTGCTAAAGTTCTTAAGAAAACAAAGAAGCGTGCAGCACAGTGTTATAATCGGGGAGAATGATTTTGATTTTAAAAAATGGTTTAATTTCAAAGTAGGCCATTATACTATAATATTTTGCAAAAATGGATCCAAACTTTCTACTTCGCAATTTGACCACTATTCTCAATTTAGGATTTTTGTCAAAATTTCTCAAATTCTAGAGTTTTAGATTTGGGGAAAAATGGGTTTTACATTGCCTCACTATCAAACCTTTAATGACGATATCCTTTTTAATCACGTGTTTGATCCTTCGCTTTTGATTCAATTCGATCATAATATTTATCGTAATCTAGATAAATTCATGCACAAAACACAACATTCAAAGTATATGTTAATATTATACTAACATAATCAATCTCTAATAATAAAAATCCATAAATTATATTTGATACTTTTTCGATATAAAAATCACTTCGCTATTCCATAACAACTTCAACATTTCCAAAATGACACTTCAATTCCATAAATATTCATATTCATCATCAACCACTAAACTTTCATAAAATTTGCATTTTAGTCACCATTTATGAATTCTTTTAGAATTCATACCAACTTTTCTAATTAATTCAAAATTGTCCTTCACAATTTTATTCAATTCAAATCTAATACTAAAATTTCCAACATTGCCGTAATATATTCAATCTAGTACATTTACATTTGTAAACTTGTAATTCAATCCCCAAATTTCTAACATTTTTAAAATAATCACAAACTTTACCAACTTTTGCATTTTGATCCAAAA